GGTCTGGCACCTTGGAAGAAGGCCTGCAAAATTCAGGTTAAAACCCAGAGCCGCTTCACCACCCTGCAGAACTGGAAATCGCCCTACAGACCTAGGTTGCTATGATGATAGTGATTTAGGCATCCGACCGTGGACCCGGAGATTGGATACCCCCACTGGGCCTTCTTGAGAGGGGCTGGAGTCGATGATCCAGAGGGTCCCTTCCAACTCTGCAGTTCTAAGATTCTAAGATTATTCCTGAGCCTTAAATTACACTCTTTTTTTTTGGAGGGGGGAGGGAGAATATGTTAACCCTTTCAAATAGACCAGTACAGCCTTGTTAGTCAATACGCTGCTGTCACATCGCCACTTCCATCAGCTGTATTAAAATATTGGTAAAAGATTATGGAACATGCTGCCTGGTGAGATCTGGATGATCAGAAGATGGCCTGTCATGTTTTCTATCCAGGATAAAACGATGTCCGATAAGCTGCACGAAGAAAAGGATGTTAGAAAAAAAAAAACCCACATCTCCATGTGCTTTGTTAAGTGCCTTCAAATCGTCTGCAATTTAGGGTAAGCCTACAAATTAGTGACCTGGGAAAGGTCGTATCATTAATGTCCTTGCTCAGATCTTTCGCACACTCCAAAGGACTGGCTGTATGCAAGCTTTTGAGCTCTCCAGAATGTTTCATCATAAAGACAGTGGGGAGAGGGAAATGCGGGGGCACGTATTCCACTCCCTGCAGATAGAGAGAGAGAGTCAGTCTCTCCCCCCCCCCACCTGCTAAGATCCCATTGTCTCTAGCTTGAGGCTGCTCAACCAGGAGAGAGCACCCCTGTTGTTTACAACAGGTTGATCTTCGTGCAAGGGTGCCGCGCATGAGATGCTTCTTTGTACAGTTATTGTTTTTAATTATTATTGTCATTTAATTGCTTTTTAAACCTGCCATGGATTCTGTTTTCATTCTGACTTGTTTGACATTGGGAGCCCCCCTGTGGCTCCACACGTCAGGAGAGAAGCAGCCTACAAATGAGGGCAAGTATAAACAAACAAACAAACAAACAAACAAACCTCCCCAAAAGACCCACTGCGGGCATGGGGAAGCCTTGTGCATGAGTTATGGGGCAATAGCGCAGGGCAGGGACGTCCATACTACTTCCTTGACTCTGGTTTAAATTTTTTTTAAAAAAGTTCTGTATTAGAATTAGACTTCCATAGAACTAACAAGGTCTTGTGGAATCTTACTTGGCCCTGTTTAAGGAAAGGGGCTAAATCGAGAAGTTAGTCCCCAAAAACAGCTGTTTAATTCAACAGTTAGATATCAGGATCCACTCTAGTTCAGATTAACAGATTTACCCCTGTCCAGTTCTGGATTTTCACTTGGCTTTCCTCTCAACCCAACCCAGGCACTGTGATTTCCCATCTCCGTCCCCGAAAGCCTCTTGAATTTTCCTTTCTCTGTTCATTCTCATCTCGATGAATTCCTCTTTGCTTTAAGGTATCTGTCTGTGGACCGCAAATTAAAGGCGACGGGCTCCCTCTTTTTCAAGGTTCCCATATCCTATCTAAAACACTGGGGGACTGGACTTGCAGAAAATGGCGGTGATCGGTCAAGCTCTCCCCACACCACAGCAGGGCTGTGTTTTAGGTCTTCCAGCCCATGGACTTTGCTCTCTGCGATAGAGGAGAATGAAAAATGTGCTCTTGGAAAATAAAAACAACAACATTCTGCCACAGAGAACTCTTAGAGACAAGAGTTTCTAAGGCTCGTTTTTTGGAAGAAAGGTGGAAACATAGATCAGCAGGTTCTCTCTTCGTGTTTGTTTATGTGTATAACATTATATATTATTTAATCTATATTTCTAAGTTAGAGCTAATGATGATGCTTTTGGCTGCTTTTCTTCCTCTCCTATTTAGCTCAGCGTGGCAGTTTTCGGGTCTTTTAGTTTGCTGGGTAATTGAGTTTTCTTCTGTTAATTATTTCAGGGCTGTAAGTTGCTGTCTTGATAGCCGGAGAATGCAGGAACAGAACCGTCAAAAACTGCGGCAACCTGCTCCAGGCAAAATCACTTTATACTGTGACCGTTTTAAGGTTTCCCTTCTGCGCCAGGGGATTAATTTTAACAACATCCTGAAGTGCTTTCCTCCAAGTGCGCTTTCCCACCTCCCTCACCCCCTCACTGCCAGTTCAACCCCACCCACCCCATGACTTTAGGAAGTATGCTTATGTATTTATGTGCATAATTAAAATATATGGGAGCTACCGACCCCCACAAATTGGAAATGTTTTTTTTCAATGGTTGAATACTCGCAGAATTTGTCTCTGTTGTTTACATGGTTCTCTTTTATGGTGACTGAGCATTCCGGAGCTTTGGCCGCATCGCTGTGAGTGTGCGGTCTTTACAGAGAACAGAAGTGAGGGTCTTTTCGGTGGTCAGTCATTCCTGTCTGTTCCTGAGTCAATCCAAGCAACTGTTGACCCATGGCCGAGATTGATGGCCAATCTCACTCTTCTATCAGGGGTGGCCTGAGATATTTTTCCAGCCAAGTTGTTGTTTAGTCATGTCCGACTCTCTGTGACCCCATGGACCAGAGCATGCCAGGCCCTCCTGTCTTCTACTGCCTCCCAGAGTTGGGTCAGATTCATGTTGGTCATTTCAATGACACTCTTCAGCCACCTCGTCCTCTGCCGCCCCCTTCTTCTCCTGCCTTCACACTTTCCCAACATCAGGGTCTTTTCCAGGGAGTCTTTTCTTCTCATTAGATGGCCAAAGTACTGGAGCCTCAGCTTCAGGATCTGTCCTTCCAGTGAGCACTCAGGGTCGATTTCCTTCAGAACGGATAGATTTCTTCTCCTTGCAGTCCAGAGGATTCCACCTAGAGTTTCCTCCAGCACCACAATTCAAAAGCATCCAAGAGAGGGAGGCAAAGGGTGCCCCCACGCACCGACCTCAAGATGCGTCCGTGATCAGAGCCAAGCAGCCGGCTCTGTGTGAGGTAGAAAGGGTCAGAAGCCCCTCTCCCCATTCCTGGCCATCAGCCAATGATCACCACTGATTAAGTTCTGCTAGATTTGTCCTTCACCACCCCTGATGGCACCAGATCAAAACATTTTGGCTTTCTCCAGATCCTTTTACCACAGCCACTGGAAAGGTGTAACCGCAAGCATTTTGCTTAAATATTTCTGCCTGTCGTTCACTCTTATAATCCTGTGTATTTATCTAGTGGAGAAACTTGTTGGGTTTTTGTTTGCTTGTTTGCTGGTATGTTCAGTTTTGCTGGCTTGCTTGTTTCCCTGCCACTGAAACATCCCGTCCCACCACAGGTAGGTAGGCGCTTGTGTTCAGCGTTAATATCTCTCTTGTTCTTTCTAACGAGCTTTTTAAAATTGAGTGCTAGACTAGAAAGGGGGCAGCAGGTTTGACATTTCCGTACAATTAGCCAAGAACTGAAATACACTTGTAAAAAGGGTGAGGAGAAGAGCAGATGGTTTCATTCCACATCGGTGGTGGTTTATGGAGAGCAGGTTTGGTTCCAGGCCCTGTTGGCTATAGGGCACTGGATAAGTCTCCCCACTCCAGCCATGAGGCTTCTCTATTATTTATTTGTGGTATTTATATTGCACCTTTCCTCCCACGAGCTCAGGGTGACCTATATGATTCGTTCTTTGGCTCCATTTTATCCTCACGACGGTCCTTTGTGGTAGCTCATGCTGAGAGAGAACGAGAGATTGGTAGGGCTGACACAGGGGACTAGAAACTTGGATTTCCTGCCTCTCATTCCAACATTGTAACCCCGACCCCACACTGTTTCTTTAATATGTTGATATTATATAATTATATAATGTTAGCATATTGGAAGAAGCCAGTGTGATTACATTAGGCCACTATCCCCCTGAGTGTCGGCTGAACAGAAATTCCCATCATAATCAATGTGGGATCATACCACTTGCGCCGGTTGTCACTGCCATGCGCAAAACCCGTAGCAGTAATGCTCAAAGAGAGCCAGAGAGGGAGAAGTTTTCTGTTTTGTTTGGACTCAGTTGTTAAATGGTTTGAAATGGATTGGGATCCTCTTGGGTTTTAAAAAATGGGATTTCATTGCATGCGCCCTGCCCAGGAATCTGTATGTTGTTATTGTTATGTGCCCTCAATTTGCTCTTGACTGAATGAATGAGCAGTTTCCAAAATACCCTGTCTTCAACTGTCCTGCTCAGCTCTTGTAAACTCAAACTTTGGGGAGTTAATCCATCTTGCATTTAGTCTTCTTCTTTACCTGCTACCCTCCACCTTTCCCAGGATTATTATTTTCCAGAGAATCCTCCCTTCTCATGGCGTAGGACAGCCACAGTTTCGCCATTTCCCCCTCCAGAGTTAGGTCAGGCCCAATTTGGCCTGGGACCAACCTGTTCATCTTTCTAGCTCTCCAGGGTATCCAGAAAGCTCTCCTCCAGCACCATATTTCAAATGAATCCCTTTCCCCCCTTTCATCCTTCTTTACTATCCGGGTTTCACATCCATACAGGGTGATCGGGAATACAAGAGGGTGGATGATTTGGCTCCTGGTCTCCAGTGAACCATCCTTATATTTGATGAGCTGTAGGATGGGGTAGGAATGAATGAATGAATGAATGAAAGAAAGAAAGAAAGAAAGAAAGAAAGAAAGAAAGAATGAATGAATGAATGAATGAATGAATGAATGAATGAATGAATGAATGAATGAATGAATGAATGAATGGGATTGGACTAATTCCTTAACGGAAGTACAAATGTCCCTTGGTTCTACCCTTTCCACCAAGTGTAGTATGTGATTTTTCTTGGTAGAAAAGAGACGGTTCTTCCACCTTGGATCTAAGACAGAAGAGGCCTCAAAGCTCTGAAACAAAAAAGTTTCTCTTCTATTATGCCAGACATTGAAAACCTCAGAGACACGAGGGCCGTAGCATTCAGGCGGTTCTTTGCTCGCCCTCGGTTCCTCCTTCCCGTTCTGTGCTAACCCTCTGGTGTTGCCTTTACAGGCTTGGATCTGCAGGTATGCCTCCCCAAAAGCATGACCTGCTGCTCCAGGAAGATGGAGGAGAAATACCAAGCGATGGCCCGTTCCAACATGGAGCAGCTCCTCCAGTCGGCCAGCATGGAGCTGAAGTTCCTCATCATGCAGAACGCGGCCGTCTTCCAAGGTAGGTGGGCCGAATGGCTCGGCTTCTCTTTTCCAGGACGGGGACCTCCCGGAAGGAGAAGGGGCTGGCAGCTGGCGGGCTCTGCTTGCCAGAGAGGAGGAAGCCACGCCTTAAAAAGTGTTGGCTTCACCGCCGGTGCGGGAGTCATGTTCCATGTCCTTCTCCTCTGGTCTCAGAAGCATGGCGGGGTGGGTGTTGGAGGGGCCCTGAAGCGTCTGTAAAAACGCTACGACTCTGCGTGGTAAGGAACAGACCTTGGAGCAACTTGGGGTGGCCAAGATTTCATCTCCTGCTAGCCAAGCAGCAGCTGGGGAAGATTTGCAGGTCACCCGTTGGATTCCGAGTAGATGGTCAAGGGAAGAGTCAGCAGCGTGGTTTTGCCCCTGGGAGCAGGAAAACAGGAGGGGAGGGCTGCATTGAGTGCGGTGGCGTGGTCAGAGTTGATTTGGTCAACCCTAGGGCTACCTGTCACCTTCGGTCGGATTTTCAGGCTCAAATGCTCTCTACAATTAGTTCAGGTCTCTCAGAATTATGGTATATTTTCTTGCCGGGTTTTGAATTAGGGTTAAAGCTGCGCAGCGGAACTGCAAGGATTCGCAGAGAAGAATAGCTTCATGTGCCCCAGATTAGTCCACCCCTTTTTCTCTTTAACTGGTCCTTAGGGTCTCAGTAACTCACTCCGAGACATTAGTAGTCGGAATGATTAAAAAAACACACACACCATTTCATTACTTACAAACAGCAAACAGACAAACACGACTGCTTTCAGCCACAGACTTCGACAGACTCCGTGGCTGCTTCCAACAAGCAAAAGAGAGGGGGCGGAACAGAACAAAGGAGGCCGGAGTTAACTGGTCCTTAGGGTCTCAGTAACTCACTCCGAGACATTAGTAGTCGGAATGATTAAAAAAACACACACACCATTTCATTACTTACAAACAGCAAACAGACAAACACGACTGCTTTCAGCCACAGACTTCGACAGACTCCGTGGCTGCTTCCAACAAGCAAAAGAGAGGGGGCGGAACAGAACAAAGGAGGCAGGAGAGGAACCATTGGTTAGTGCTGATTGATTGACAGTCCCTCCCAGCTGCACCTACTAGAGGCAGCATGCCAGGTTGCAAAAACTCCCAGCCACACCAGCTGGCACCACTCAGCCTCCCCTGGCATGAGAGTCGGGGTGCATCAGAGGGCGTGGGTTAAACTGTACGCTGGTCTTTGGGGGAACAGGAAGATCAAACAACATGACGGTAAATGTGACTCAGCACCCCACTTCTCACTCTCTTTACGAATGTGACATCTTCCCCAAAACTGGGGTTGCGTTGCAGAATTCAGTGGTTTCCTCCTCCTTACAACACAGTAATAAAGGAGCATGGAAATGCCGGCTGTAAAGGGCTTACTAAAACCCCTTTGTAAGATGTTTCAGTGTTTTCTTTCCAACATCTTGCTTGAATGCCGGTCCTGATGCTGTTCTTCGCTAAATCTAATTTGCTTCTTCCTGAAATTGCATCAGCCTTTTTGCGGATAAAGATCAGGCGGGATCGCTTGGCATTTACCAAGTTCCTATCCAGGCGTGTCTGTTACTGTGTTCACTTAGCAAAGTTTATTAGATTAGTGGAGGCTTAAGACCCTGGGGCTCTTCCATTATTGATGGGGGAAAAGAACACAAATACAAGGTTTTGGGGGCAGAGGGGAGTTGCCATCATACATTAGTTTTCTATCCATAATACAGAATTTTAAAATATGGATATATGCTTATTTTCAAGGCCACGGGGCCTGAATAGTTTTCTTTATGGACTGGCAATGTCTTTTGACAGCTCTGAGCCTAGCAGAAATCCACAACCGCGCATGCACGGCTGTGTCAAACTGCTTTCGGTTTTTACTGATGTTTGCAAAACTCCCCTCCATCATTCAGGATGTGTATGCTCTAGGGAGCTCTTTTGTGAAATCGGCATGCATGCGGATCCTGTGCAGAGAGTAATGACCTATAGAAGCTGCTAAGAAAGTTTGGTTGCAGGAATTCCAGGTATATGGAGGCCATTCCATAGTTGTATTAAAATTATAGTCACTGCTCACAGGTTCATCTCCGGTGGTTTGAATGTGCTTTTTCTGCTGGAGAGTTGTGAATTTTGGTTAAATTCTTCTAGCTGTGCAGCAGAAGTGCAGGGATTCACAGAGCAGAATAGATTCGAGTCCCCCCTGATTAGTCCACTCCTTTCCCCATGAACTGGCACTTCCAATCTCAATAACTCAGAGACATCACTAGGAGAAACAATAAAAAGTTTAATTACTTACAGTTGAATGGATCAAACAGCCAACTGACAAACATGACTGCTTTCAACAACATACTGTTTCATTACTTACAGTTGAATGGATCAAAAGCCAACTGACATACATGACTGCTTTCAACAACATACGCTAGAGAGGAGGGGAAAACACTGATCAGAGTTCTTTTTTTAAATCAGAGAGAGGGGAGGAACTGTTGATTGGTGCCGGATAGATTGATGGATACCCCAGTCCAGAAAGGTCCCTCCCAGCGAAACCTACTAAAGGCAGCATGCGAGGCTGCCAGAACTGCAACATTTTCCTGCATAAAGACACCTAGATTTGGAATAGATCTATGGGGAAAACCACAACAGGTAGAACTGTATTCTTGTTCTGTTGACCATCTCCACCCCATGGGGCTGTGGCTGAACAGAAATGTTTCTGAGCCCTAAATTACTGCAGAACCCATATTTTGGCATCAGCAGTGACTCAGCTTGCTCCTCTTTGTGCTATGGCAGTCAGAAGCCAGGGAGAGAGTTCTAGTTCCTGCCTGTTTTGATGAATGCCTCCAACATTTTGTTATTTAGAGTAATGTAGCTCCGTTTTTCTCGGCTGTCAAGGGAAGGGCCCTGGTTTTGACACCTATCAGGTTATCTTTAATCACTTTAGCGGCAGCTGAAACCATGAGTATATCAGGGTAGCTGATGCCAATCTTGACATCCAGTAAAAACTTGAATTATTTATTTCGTTGTGATGAAAATGTCTGGATTTTATTGGGTTTTCTTGAAAGAACTGGATTGTGCTCAGTGTCGCCGAGATAAAAAGATCACTGTTCATTACTGGCAATATCCCTTCTTTTTTTGTTTGTTAAAGTAAACAATGTGTAATTTACTTTTCCTTTGTCATTGAAGCTTCTTTTTGCTCCTCTGAAATGAAGGTGAGGAAGTCAAATGGTGTCTAAGAGTATATCTATTCAACAACCCATTTCACTTACTATGCCTTTTGTATGGTTAAAGTGGTGTGTGATTTTTTTGTGGGGTTTTTTTTTTGGGTGGGGATCTATAGGAAGGGCACTTTTCCCAGAGGCTAGCAAAGGGTTTTAAAAGCAGAGTTTTAGGAACAGCCTCTAATTTCTCACCGTGTCTGCCTTTTCTTTGAAGCCGGGTAAGTTTAATAAGGCGGGAACATGTGGCTGTTTTTGATCTTCCCAGAAGGCAGACATGAGAGTGTTTTTTTTCCCTCCTGTGTTACTGTTTTTCTTCGTAGGCTATTTAAAAGACACGGTGGAAACCGGTGTTTGGGAGAGGAAACTGAGTTACCACTAAGGGGTGGGTGGGATTTTTCCCTTCTGTACTATTGCCAATTTTATCAATACCATTATCGTAAAAAATTATCCTTTTGTCTCTACAGATCAGAATTAGCATGAGGTTCTAGGACTGTCAGGTCGAGAGAGGCTGGATTTATTAAAATTTCTTGCTGAAATAACTATTGCATGTGGACATTCTGTATTGACTGTAAGAAAAAAAAAATCCAGTATCCACAATCAGAGGAATTTTGAGGACTTGATATGTCTTGAGTTCTAGGATCTCCATGGAAAAAGAGAATGGTGAAATATACCTTGTGTTTTTGTTGTTTTTAATGTGTTTTAGTGCTGTTTTTTAATCTACTATTTTTAATTTTATGTTTAAATTTTGTAAAATATTGAGATACTTTAGTTTTTTTTAACTTTTAACATTGTTTCTTTTTTAATACTGTAAACTGCCTTGGGGGAAAAAAGCACTGAGCAGAGAGGCGGGACTCACTTTGAATTCAAAGGCAGGGAAGGCACACGATTGGTTAGTGTGGGATAGATTGACAGTCACCACGTAGCCAGAATAGTCCATCTCAGCCAAACCTACAAAAGGCAGCAGATTGAAGTGGGAGGGCTTTTTTAATTCATTGTTGTGAAAACCCTGAATCCCACCTAAATTACATTTGAGTTGTCCCAGTTGATCACGCAGGGAGAAATATGGCTCGGAAGAATTCTGCCTGAATGGTCAGCTCATGTCTTCTGTAATTACTTCTTGAAGGCAGGAGTCATATTTCATAGTTCAAGTCCCTCAGATATTTCAACTGCTCTCTTAAGGCTATAAAAGAGATAAATTGTGTTTTTCAGGGTTTCGCTAGCCCTGTTTATGCTCCTCGGCCTTCCTGACGGTTTCTGTCTTTTCCTCTCCGATTCCCCATCGTCTGAAGCCAACTCTGGCCCTTCTGAGATGCATTTTGTCTTGGGGCCTGGATGGATTAAGCAAGGAGATAAATTCCTCCCCTGGCTGGCTTGCGCCAGAGTATTTAAAATGCAGAGAAGAAACAGTCTGTAAACATTAAGAGGAGAAAAAGGAGGGGGGCCCTCGGCAAGACCGCATCGGCGATGTCAAGGGCAGGCGTCTGGTTTATGTAAAAGACGCATTTCCCTCGACTGTCATCGGCTGCCGCTTTTGAAGCTGCCGTGATATGGAAGGATAAAATGGCCAGTGATGCATTTCAGACCGGAGATATGAACTCTTCCTGAGCCAATTAAGCTGTCAATTTGCCCAGGTTTCGTGTCTCCCGGTGACAAACGGGGTCACTTTAGGACCATCACTTCACTTCGGCGGCGAGGCTGGCCAAATCAGTGCTACAATTTATAATCCTAATATGTTATGAAGGTGTATTAATCTGTGCTTAAAACAGAAGGCGAGGAACAGAGAACAGGA